AGTGTGGCCAGCAGGACTAGGGCAGTGGTCATCCCCCTGGACTCAGCATTGATGAGGCCACGCCTCAATGCTGTGTTCAGTTTTGGGCCCCTCATTTTAAAAATTACATTGAGGCACTGGAGTAAGTCCAGCCAAGGGCAGCCAGGGCAGGAAAGGGCTAGAGCACATGGGGAAGGGCTGAGGGACTTGGTTTGTTTAGCCTTGAGAAGTGGTTCAGGGGTAAACTCATAGCTCTCTACAACTTCCTGACAGGGGATTGTAGAGAAGTGGGGGGTGGTCTCTCCTGCTATGGCTGCAGGGAGAGCACTAGAGGCAATGACCATGAGCTGAGACAGGGGAGAGTCAGAGTAGGTACTAGGAAGAAAGCATTTCACTGTTGGGGTGGTCAGGCCCTGGAATAGGTTGCCCAGGGAGGTGGTGGAGTCACCATCCTCGGAGGGGTTTAAGAGGCAACTGGATATGGCACTGGAAGATATGGTTTAGGGGTTACAACAGTGACACATTAATGGTTGGATTTGATGATCTTCAAGGTCTCTTCCAACCTGATAATTCTATGATTCACTGCTTGAGGCTGAGTAGGAAAAGTGTCAGGGGGAAAAAAACCCAAGCCTTTCAGACACTGGAAAGGAAGAAACCAAGTCATTCCCAAGCAATGCTGGAGGAGAAACTGCTGGGCTGACAGAGGAAGGCCTAAAGCTGCAGCACCTGGGCCCAAACAGACAGATTTCAAAAGTGTCCAGGGGAACCTAATGCTCTCAGCCAGCCTTTGAAAACACAAACCTCTGCTTTGGCTGTCAAAGATGTCACTGCCAGGAGCACAGCCACCTAAGACACATGATGGCAAAATGCAGCCATGCATTCACCTGAATAAACCAGAAGCATCCCTCAGTGTGCAGCTGGGACACAGCTGCTCTTCTGACCATTGGAACCCAATTTTTACATGCTTTTTTCCCCATGCTTCTGTTAGGAACCAGTTTATTCAAGACCCACTTGAGCTAGGAGACAGTGGACTGTGGACAGAGGAAGAGATGAGAAGGGGGTGACTCAGGAAAGGCCTCCCAGATGAAGCCATCAGCTCTCTGGAAAAACTTTGGAGAAGAGGAGCTATTTTATCCCCTTTTGCTAAGTGTGGCTAGTAAGGCAGTTCTGCTACAGCATGGCAAAGCAGGAGTAAAAGAAACTGAGCTCTCAAACCCATTCACCTACTTGGCATGTCAGCACCCTTTCCCCTCCACTCTCCCCAAAGTCTTTGCAGGCACATATGTTGAGCTCCCCACAAGGAAACAGAGCGGCCTGCTCAAGTTCTGTGGTTGAGATAACATTTGTGCAGCTAATTTAGCTTCCACCTCTGGGCATGCAGTCAAGGGTGCTGCTGGTGCGTTGTAGTTCACATGCAAGTCAGGCAGCTGGTGGCTGTGGGGAAATGAGTCCTGTCCACCCAGCCACAATGCCAGGGCAGCTCTGCCCAGCTGTGTCCTCAGAGGTTAAAAAAAGGAAGCTGAGAAAAGTTGTTGATGATGAACTTGATAAAGGAAACCGTCAGAGTTGAAAGCCAAACCTGGTTTAGGCTCTGTCCTAAGGTCTCCTTGCCCTCCTTTTAAGGGTAGGTTATGTTTAGATGATACTATTTAGCACCAAAGTGAAGTACACAAGCCCAAATAAGATTTGTAAACACATATGCAACTACACTATATGCATACCAAGGTATGTCAATAGGGGCTCACTGATTTTTTACTTCCTGTTACTACATGGTAACTGTGAAAATTTACTTTGAATTGATTCTTGTCAGTTACCAAGTCATAACATCCTGCCACTTCTAGCCTCTGCATTTCAAATGATTCATAGACTGCAAAAAATAGAATACTTTCCTCAAAAAGACATTGAAATGAAAGTCTGCCTGGTCTTGCTGCTGGGTAGTAATTATCTATTCAATTACATGGCTCCATTCTTTGCACCCTCGAATGGAGAGAAAAGATGCCTTTCCAGATGAAACAATCCTCAAACATCTCCAAAATCAGGGCTACTGATTACTGTTTCTACAGCTGCAGAATGAAAGGCACTGCAGTCAGAAAGTAAGTGGTAGAAGGTCTTGCTCTCTAACAAATGAATTACAGGAGTTTAAATGAGAGCCATATTTTCTTCCTTTATGGCTTTGTATTTCTCATTTTGTGCCACAAAAAAAAAAAGTTCTCTGTAGACCAGATATGTGTATGGATTCTTCCTGTGACGTAAATGAGTGTTTGCACGTCTGTCCAAGGGCCATAACAGAAGAGATGTTGCTTTCCATTCTGTAATTTCACCGTAGGCATCATCCAGGTCACAACCAATCTTGCTAGACTGGAAAGATATATCCAGTGTCTGTTATTGTTTTGTCATACTGAATTCCAGGAATAAATTAACTTGTTGTATGTTTCTAATTATATTAAATCTCCACTGCAAAGATATAGAGATTTCAAATGAGATTAAGTCTGCAAGATCCTGAGTTCCTGTGGATGACTCTGCCATGTATGCATCTCATCATTGAAAAGGAGATGTTTGACATACTTGCAAATATTGGACTGATATAGGCTGATTAATAAAATTATTCCGTGAATTCTTCTCCTACGCTTATTAAAAACATAATTGTTCACATTTGAGAGAATGATGTTATGCTTAAAATGATTAAGGTTCTCTAGACAGGGCATTAGTTTAGCTACTATAATCCCTGTATGGATTAACCATGCCGGCAAGTGTCCCTCTTGAGCAACTTGCTTAAGCACTTTTTTTAAAGCTCAGGAACTGGGAAAGTTGAAATTAACAGTCATCATAAGTCATAAGGAAAATAATTGCAACTAAGTAAGCAGATGCTGTAATGCTACTGGCACAAAAGTAGCCATGGACCCAATAAAACTAATCTTGAGAAAACGAGTTGTGAGCCACGAGATGCCTGGCTGCAAATACTGGCAGGCAAACTCCTCATAGCAACGGTTTCAGTGGCGTGACCTTTCTATTACCCAGTCTCATGCTGTGTCATTTATCTGAATCAGAAGAAGGGAAGTGCTTCTATCCTCAGTACAGCTCAAGAAGGAGTGATCTATCCCCCAACATGGAAGAAATGCTTTGTCGACTGTATTGTTCAATTCTTTAGGCCCAAGTCCCACTGGAGGTCCAGCTTGATTGATAATAAAACGTAAAACTGTCTAAGCATGTATTTTTCCACATATACATGGTC